TCACAACGGGAGACGGGCCACAACGGGAGACGGGTCACAACGGGAGACGGGCCACACAACGGGAGACGGGCCACACCGGGGGACGGGCCACAACGGGAGACGGGCCACAGAGACGCGAGTTGTAAAATTTGTAAACAGCTGAAATAGACAAAAATAAATTTAACCTCTAACTCAGCCGGTTCTAAACAGAATAAACCAGAGTTCGAATCCCTGGCAGGACTAAAACGTTTGGGCATGTTTCCATACACCCAGCAGTATATAGGTGTCGGGAATTAGCTGACTGTTGTAGTTGGCATCCAGTGTAAAGCCAGTCTTTGTGGGTTCTCAATAAGCCTTAACGTAAAAGTCTAATTGTCAAAAATTATATGATGATAATAAACAAAATTCGGCGTCTCGATGTTAAGAAATATTGTAGTAGACATCTATGAGTCTCAGGAGAGTGGCCTCTCCAGGGCGCAAAGCCAGGGTAGGTTGATACGGGGAAGAAGCTGTTACCCATGCAGCAGGTCACTCCTTTCTCCACGTCACCGAAAGTCTCCAATGGAAAGGCCTTTGTCTACTTTTTACATTAATTAGTCAATTTTAATATAATAATTGCAAAGACTATTTACGTATTTAGGAACAATTGAATAATTGTAATCTAAATGCGAGAGAGATCAAAATTAAAACCCATTTAAGACCAGCTTAGACTTCAACAATCAGATTGCTGAACAATCCTTATTGTCCTCCCGGAAGTGCATGCAAAGTATACCAAGGAGCCAGCTGGTACCCTTATACCTGGAGCATACCTGGGGAGGATTTCAAGAGTTTTTCGACTCCCCGAACCCGACCTGAGGCCAGGCTCGAAATGGTTATACAAGGTACCTTGTATGGCCAAAAGTCTGGGCCATACTTTATAATCTGGTTGAGCCAGACCATATGGTATAAAATACTCTGTATGGTATACCATACTTCTGTATAGTACACCATACTTCTGTATAGTATACCATACTTCTGTATGGTCTCGTTCAACCTCTGGTATTCTAAGAGGCTGAGCCAGATAAATGACCAATTCGTAAAAAATGCGACTTATTAACAACTAAAGCACTGTATAATTGTCGTTTTCTATGCATCGGCCCTCGACAGGTTAGGTGGGGGGGTTCGTGCATTTCGGGTTAGACAAACAGTCATATTTGTTACGGAGTGGCAGATCGAGAGAACCGGCCGGGCCAAAGAAGTGCGAAACAGCTGCATCTTCTCCTCACTATTAAGTTTTAAAAAGGTATCAATCCCAACGTAACAATTGCAATGGTTTTGTAAAGTACTAAAACACAATAATTTTGGCGTCCCTGTTCGGTGTCATACGGTTTACGAACGTTCGATTTGCAGCGATTATCGTAGGTAGAATAGGGGCATAAACTCTCATTATTATATAAACCCTCATTGTTATACGCATTATACTCAAAATTATACTCGTTATTATACGCAAATTATACGCATGAGACCAAGACCGGAGAGGAAGGACCACGGGAGTTTTCGCTGCGTTCAAAATGTAGTGGTTGGGGCGTTTAAGGAGGAAGTCGCGTTTAACTGAACCGTGAAGAACGCTCTCTGTCTGTCTGTCTGTCTGTCTGTCTGTCTGTCTGTCTGTCTGTCTGTCTGTCTGTCTGTCTGTCTCTGTCTCTCTCTCTCTGTCTCTCTCTCTCTGTCTCTCTCTCTGTCTCTCTCTCTGTCTCTGTCTCTCTCTCTGTCTCTCTCTCTGTCTCTCTGTCTCTCTCTCTCTCTCTCTCTCTCTCTCTGCCATGCGTCACCACTCACGAACTCTGCATGGCATGCGTCGACTCTCACGAACTCTTGCCATGCGTCGACTCGAACACCAGGTTTTAAAGGTTTAATAAATTGTCTGAAATTCATATATGTCACAAAACCCTTTACCCAATCATTAAGAATAAAATTGTTAATTCAGCCTTTCACGTTTAAATGGCCATTTATATCATTTATGAAACCCGTTCGTATTTTTTCAATAATTTCAATGGCAGACAAATCTTAGTCAAACTAAGGTGACCAGAGACGCGAGATCAAGTCCAACGCAGTACTCCTAACCAATTTCTCAATAGATATATCTCGCTATAGGGATTTCATGTTGCAAGCCTTAGTCATTTATTGTGGCAACATAACTGAGAGAGAGAGAGAGAGAGAGAGAGAGAGAGAGAGAGAGAGAGAGAGAGAGAGAGAGAGAGAGAGAGAGAGAGAGAGAGAGAGAGAGAGAGAGAGAGAGAGAGAGAATATGCCACCACAATACCTACATCCCGTCCTCCTAAGTCTTCCCAACGTCCAGAAACTGTCGCATTAAAGAGCCTAGTTCATCCTAACCTACCAGAGGACTCTCAAATACAGAAAACGGAACAGTGTGTCAATTTCGCGAGCCGCAATATACCCCTTACAAGTACGGCAATTTTGTCGGCTCTTATAGGGGAGTATACATCAAAATACAACTTTACAATCAGTAACCACAACCTACCAACAACGTGCAAGAAGATTCTGGCGTTGTGTGTGGGCGAAGACTGGAAGTCGAGCCGGCAGCGGTACTCCCCCTGGTCTCTGAACTCCGCCTCACGCACCACTAGGGTCCAGTTCCACCCGCCCTGCTTGCGGATGTCCGCCCGGCCGCGGAAGAAATCCGAAGACCGTGAACTTTGACCGCCCTTCTGCTGACCTCTCGGTCTCGAGTCCACACTGTTGGGGGGAGGAGGGTAAAATTGACACAATTCAAGGTATTGGTGAGTTTTGTATCGTGTTTAGTATCAAGAAGATGATCCAGTATTCCCCTTCCTGTTATTCTGAAGCTTAGTTTAGCTGGACATGTTTTTTGTTGGGACATGTATCACTGTATTTTAAACATAAATATTTTGTTTTTAAATAAATATTTTCATTTTGATAAGCACACACACACAGTTGAGATGAGAGACCAAAGAGCCAAAGCTCAACTCCAGCAAGCACAATTAGGTGAGCATACACACAAACACACACACACACAAACACAGCTCTTTTAATTTCTGCCACAGACATTGACCTTACACAGAAGAACACAAAACCAAAGAAAATTGATCAAACGCACTTAAAGAAAAAAAAGGTTCTTTCATTAGTGATGACCCACCTGTAAACTGGAGTCTTTGTGCCGTTCTTGTACCAAAGCACCAATATCACCGGGTCCTCAGGTTCCGATATTAAGTTGCAGGGCAGCCGCACCGTCTCCCCTCTCACGACATACACGGCCGCCAGGGGCGCTGCGGGACCAAAATAAATCCAGTGTAATAATAACGTTATTGCAAATCACCCAAAAAGTAAATATTGTGCAACCGATACTAATAATAACACACACTCACGTTACTTGGAGTAATCAAATGACGTACACAATGGTCTCTAGTGAGTGTGGGGGACGAGAGAGAGAGAGAGAGAGAGAGAAACAACGAGAGACTCAATGTTTGTTACAGCCCTATTGGGTCGCAACTGGGTTCTTTCTCTGATGTTGTTAGAGGTAGGGTATCCGGCCCCAAGTTAGTAGTGGCTTTCAAGGGGTGTGTTCCGTAACGCAAGTAAATTAAAGGGGAAGGGATACGATTACACAAAATTAAATATTTATTCACCACCACCAATAAATAAATATATAAATTATCACACGGGGGGGGGGGGGGGTATAAACACTATAATAAACAATATGGTCTTCCTCTGAAGACGCGGAGTGTTCCACGGTGCTCAACGATGCTTAGCCCTTGGTCCTCTTGTGGCCTCACGATGAATCCTTCGATTCTCTCGAGTCTACCCGGGCCACAGGCCAGCCAAATCACAGTTCCACTGGGGGCACCGTCGTGGAGGCCTTCAACCACAAATCCAGCCTGTAGATGGCAGGTTCCAATCGGTTCCGCTGGTTAGGCCACTCCACGACCGATACTAGGGTTGCGAGCCCTAGGCAGGAGCCTCGTGTGATTCCACAGATCACTCTCCTCACCACAACACCCCAGTGGCTAGTCTTCTCCACTAGTCAGCCCCGGGTACGACAATCCCTGGTTCTGCCACCTCACAGGCAGGCTAACACAACAGTGTTCATCCGGGGGGGTGACTCACAGCTTCTGCAGCAAATGCGTGAAGATACTACGGTTGCCTTGGGTAGACTCATCCACCATCCGATTTAGCGGTCCCAGGTCGACTCTGTAATCAGACACGTCATCAGTACTGGTTTCACTCTAGGGCACCTCACTTACAGGCTTAGACACAAATGCCCACCTATCCACTCCATAGATGGCGTTGCTGTCTAAGCGTCACTTCACCAGAGGTCAGCAGCGGCTGTGTTATGAGCTGATCAGGACGGGAAACCAGCCCTTGTGGCCGGTATATCTCGTCCTCACTAGATGGCGTCGTCCATTTGGAGGGGGTTTCGGGAGCTGATCCACAGATGGCGCGGTCGTCACTGCTCCGTGCTCAGACGCTGGGCTCGGGTCCGTAACAATGTCACAAATGGAGCCAATCACAGCATTCAAACAATATATATGTAAAGACAACAATTAAACACATATTTCAACAAAAAAAACCACTAACCATCTCCCATCAGATCATTGCTGTTCACCTTTAAATATCAGATAATAAGCATTTTTAACACCAACTTGGCGGCATCTGTGGGTTGAATAAACTGCAATTTTGTTCATCTCTCTTGACTGGGGTCCGAGGAGGGATAGTGGCAACAGTGATGGCAACAGTAGTGGAAACGGTAATGGTACGAGTGGCAACAGAAGTGTAACACTAGTTCAACTTCTGTTGGCTCTTCTGTTAAACTTCTGTTGCCTCTTCTGTTAAACTTCTGTTGCCACGTCTGTTAAACTTCTATTGCCACTTCTCTTAAACGTCTGTTACCACTTTTGTTAAACTTCTATTGCCACGTCTGTTAAACTTCTATTGCCACTTCTGTTGCCACGTCTGTTAAACTTCTGTTGCCACGTCTGTTAAACTTCTATTGCCACTTCTCTTAAACGTCTGTTATCACTTTTATTAAACTTCTGTTGCCACGTCTGTTAAACTAGATCAACTTCTGTTGCAACAGTAGTGGCAATCGTGTAGCACCATTAATGACCCGAAATATACTACCCATGCCGGCGAACAGGTCCGCGGTCACTACAACAGCAACGTCTCTGTGTCTTCTGTCGGCCTATCTTCTTGCAGATCGGCGTTCGATCCCCGAGGGTCCAAGAGACTGGACGCCATTCGTTCACTCCCGACCTATCGTGTTCATGTATACTTAGATACAAGGCTATACCAACCAGTCTGTTGTGCGTGGTCCGAAGGCCAGGTGCTACCACAAACAGTCAGGTTGAATGGTTGTTATCCCGCCAGCCAGACGCGTTCAGGACGCCTGATGACCCTAGGAACGAGGTCATGACCCCGAGGACAGTAGAGAACTGCAGGTGGTGGCGAAAACAGGTCGTCTTGGTGACAAGACGGTAGGTCCCCAGCAAGTATGTATGAACCGTGGGTCCCCAGCAGTACCTTGGGGTCCCCAGCAGTACTCTGGGTCCCCAGTAGCACCCTGGGGTCCCCAGCAGTACCCTGCGGTCCCCAGCAGTACCCTAGGGTCCCCAGCAGTACCCTGGGGTCACCAGCAGTACCCCGGGATCCCCAGCAGTTCCCTGGGGTCCCCAGCAGTACCCTGGGGTCCCTTAGCAACAGCCTAAGTCCCCCAGGCGGGAGCGGTGCTCCGGTTACGCCCTCGAGCAAGGAAAGAATGCAGTTACCTCTTCACGTGAAGAGGTTCCGGGAAACAGGAGTCCCACCCACTCACACTGATCTATGCTTATTACCTACAGGCCCTGGGGCCAGATTCACGAAAGCACTTACGCAAGCACTTACGAACGTGTACATCTTTCCTCAATGTTTGACGGCTTTGGTTACATTTATTAAACAGTTTACAATCATGAAAACTTGCCAATCAACTGTTGTTATTGTTATAAACAGCCTCCTGGTACTTCGGAGCTCATTAACTGTTTAATAATTGTAAACAAAGCCGCCAAAGATTGAGAAAAGATGTGCAGGTTCGTAAGTGCTTGCGTAAGTGCTTTCGTGAATCTGGCCCCAGAATTGCATATACTTTCCCTGAGTTTGTTGATTCGTGTGACGCAAAAATGGACTGGCGAGAATTCTTTGCTTCACGCACGTTCCATCCTCACTTACAGCAGCATCAATATCACGACAAGCCGGAGAACAATTTTTTTTTGCGTCATGTTATTGTGTTATTTAGTTCAGAGTCGCTTTTTGCGTCCGTTCTGCAGGCTTGTAAATGGCGCGTTAGGATGATGCTAATATTTTGTTTCAACGGAACATTAGGATGATTATTTTAACTTGGATTTTTAAGAGTGGTTACTGGTAAATGTGTATTCTTGGACGATGAGGAGTTACACGAGAAAGTCACAAGTATTGTTTGGGCGAAAACTATGAATCTGCATATTGTTCTGCTTAGGATAGTACTCACCTAATTGTGCTTGCGGGGGTTGAGCTTTGGCTCTTTGGTCCCGCCTCTTAGCCGTCAATCAACTGGTGTACAGACTCCTGAGCTTCTCGAGCTCTATCATATCTACATTTGAAACTGTGTATGGAGTCAACCTCCACTACATCAGTGTCTAGTGCATTCCACCTGATAACTACTCTGACACTGAAAAAGTTCTTTCTAACGTCCCTGTGGCTCATTTGGGTACTCAGTCTCCAACTGTGTTCCCTTGTTCGCGTACCACACGTGTTAAAAAGTTTATCCTTATCTACCCTGTTAATTCCTCTGAGAATTTTGTAGGTTGTGATCATGTCTCTTCTTATTCTTCTGTCTTCCAGTGTCGTGAGGTGCATTTCACGCAGCCTTTCTTCGTAATTCATGCCTCATAGTTCTGGGACTAGCCTAGTGACATACCTCTGAACTTTTCCCAGCTTGCTTGACAAGGTACGGGCTCCATGCTGGGGCCGCATACTCCAGGATTGGTCTTACATATGCTGTGTACAAGGTTCTGAATGATTCCTTACACAGGTTCCTGAAGGCAGTTCTGATGTTAGTCAGCCTCGCATATGCCGCTGACGTAATTCTTTTTATGTGGGCTTCAGGAGACAGGTTTGGTGTGATATCAACTCCTAGATCTTTCTCTCTGTCCGTTTCATGAAGTACTTCATTTCCCATTCGGTATCCAGTGTCTGGCCTCCTGTTTCCACCATCTAGTTTCATGACCTTGCATTTACTCAGGTTGAACTTTAGTAGCCATTTGTTGGACCATTCATTCAGCCTGTCTAGATCATCTTGTAGCCTCCTATTATCATCCTCTGTTTTAATCCTCCTCATAATTTTTGCATCATCAGCAAACAATGAGAGAAACGATTCTATACCCTCTGGGGGACCATTTACATATATCAGAAACAGTATAGGTCCAAGGACTGAACCTTGCGGAACTCCACTGGTGACGTCTCGCCAATCTGAGACCTCACCCCCTCACACTGACTCGTTGTCTCCTGTTGCTCCCATTGGATAAAGTACTCCCTTATCCAATGGAGTACCTTACCTTTCACTCCTGCCTGCATCTCCAGCTTTTTCACTAGCCTCTTGTGTGTGTGTGTGTGTGTGTGTGTGTGTGTGTGTGTGTGTGTGTGTGTGTGTGTGTGTGTGTGTGTGTGTGTAAATCAAGAAGTAAATCACTTTGAAAGTATATATAACAACAAAGAAACAAGATGAAACATCTTCAAAAGTACAGTATATATATATATATATATATATATATATATATATATATATATATATTATATATTTTTTGGCCTATATTTGTGGATTTGCCTTGCTAACAATTTGTATGTTGTAAAGGTTAGGTTTCACATGAGCACATTCCTCATTGGAAAACGTAGAATGAGAGATAAGGTAGAACTGTGTCTCACATCAGAATGAGAAAAGAACGTTGGAAAGTTTAATTATATTTTGATTTAATTCCGAGTTCTGTGGGAACTGAGAATCAGCCCCTCAGAGTATCTCCTAAATTATAATCTTTATTATAGAGAAAATTACCTTGCACATTCTCAGGAGGATGAGGAGAAGCAATTCATTAAAAAAAATGTCATTAACACTTGGGAACATGACTCGTAATTAACCTGCTTCATTACTCGTGCTGATATTCACCAATTAGAGACCTTAATTACTCTGTGACAAAAGCCTCTCCTCCTCCTCTTCCTCCTTCCCTCCCTCCCCCCCCCCCGGCCACTTTGTGATCACAAGTGA